AAGAAAAGCAATCAAATGCCTGCTTTACTCAACATTTACAAGAACAGAGAACATGTGTTTGCAGAATCTACATAACCAAAGACAATCTACAGATAAAACTCCCCCGTTTCGCTACTCCAGAGTCCCTGTGCATGTATAACGTTACACGGATCTCATTTGCCAAGTCTAAACTAAGTCACGCATATTTATATTGGCTTTGCGGCTGCTAAAACGTGAGTCAGAGCGCCTTTCTGACATGGTACAACATAATCACATACAGCTGTGGAACTCGATCGCGTGGCAGGATGGCTTCAATCAGGACTGAAACTTTAAATCTTACCCACAGTTCTCTCCTCCAGCGCCGCATTTTTATATTTATGCTGATTTAGCCACCGAATTTGATCTCATGCCTGAAAAATGGACTTAGGTTGTCACGGTGGCTTAGAGAATAAGCATCTGCCAGTCCTGCTGGCAAGCGAACCGTAAAAAGACCCTCGGGCGGAATGGCGCTGATCTCATCTTGACGGATGCAGTGCAGGGAGATCGACTCGAGCTAGTGTAATGTATTCACATGTATGACTCCTTCACTAGGTGCTCTTTTTCGTTATTTATAATCTGACAGTTGATCATATTTCTTGTCCTTTTTTTTACATGTAGCATTATAGTTTTCATTTCTGAACCATGAATTTCACCAAACACAATTTGCAAATATGATTCCTCAAACTGGTATATGAGCTTGTATTGGATTACTAGATAATAGGCCACACCCATTCTGCATCTCAGTGAACCAATCAGAGACCAGTCATACTGACAAAAACACATATATTGGAAATTGTGTTAAATAAAGAATAAGAATCAAATCAAATACATATTTATATTCAAAACAGCAATAGGAACCATTCATAAAAAAATAAAAATAAAAAAACAGCCAGACTACATTAAACATTAAACAGGTTAAATATTGTGTTGGGTTGCCAGTTGATGTCAAATTTATTGTCCATATATATTGGTAACGATAAATGATACAATTATTCATAAAATAAAATATATGGGAAGCATTTTCTACTGTTGAAATATTATTATTAGTAGTAGTATTGTTTTTTTTTCCTCCCATCTGTGACCCCATAAAAAAGATCTGTGGTCAATTTTTTGGTTGTGATAAACCAGTTGAGAAACACTGATACAGCCAAGCCAAAATGTATTCAGACACATTCTACATTTCTCACATTGTCAGAGTTTATTCAGAACAAATTCATCTTGACAATGTCAGATAACTTTGATAGAAAGGTATGCAATGAATTAGACTGTCAGCTGTTAAATTTAAGTATACAATTAGATAACACCAATTTAGGTCAACCAATTACCAAGCAATGCTTAATATTGTTCAGTCTCTGGTGTAAAAAGGTTGCATAAGCAATTAAAGAAAAAACACTTAAGCAAAACATGGACAGGTCAAAGTGTCTGAATAATTTTTGGTCCCAAATTTATCAATTTTACTGGTAGTCCACTGTACGAATTTTGCTACCCTCACTTGCATAAATGAACTATAGTGTCCTGCACCCGCTAGTAAAAAATAAAATAAAAATTATATCTGGTGTCTGAATAATTTTTGGTTTGACTGTATGTATGTGTATATATATATACTATATATTATACTTCAAAAACCATACATACTTGACATTTTGAGAACTATATATGCATAGTATACCAAGATTACAAATATATTTGGTTTTTCACGTATAACTGGTCTCTGATTGGTTCATTGCATTGCAGAGTGGGCGTGGCCTGTTATCAAGCAATCCAATACAAGCCCATAAACATTGCAAACTCTGTGACAGCCACTTTTCCACCATCACGCTGCTTCTTTACACCCTCTCCTAATCAAAACCATGTAAACAACCTTTTAAAAAGCTGTTATAAAAGCAATATTTCAAATATATTTGTAAAACACAAACGCAATTGTAATTATAAGCTGTCAAAAAGCAGATGAGGTTGAAGCACTGCAAACAAGCATTGTAACGTGTTTCCCACATCGCGCATGCTTTCATGCCCAAAAGAAAGCCGCATTAATGATATTTTCTGTATACGGTGTCTGATTCTGAAGTACCTTTCTCCTTCTCGCCTGTTTTATAAATCAGCATATGATTACACGACATGCATATTTATAAGGAAATAAGTGCTGCACTTGTGCTATTTGCATTTGAGTAAACTATTGTCGAGAGGAGAGAATTATCCCGGATATAGATATTATTATCCCCGAGCTTTTGATTAAACCAATTTTCATAACGCAGCTCATTTATCTCACCAAACATCATTGAAGAAAAGACAATAGTCAAAGATTTGTCCTTCAGAGAAATATGCAGTTCAGTGTTCGCAGACTTCAGTCATTACACGAAACAGAAAGTCAGTGCAAGTGTTCACAAATTTCGGTTTCTACTAATCAGTGCTGGGTGGAACAACTTGCAAAATATGCTTTCAATTAACAATGCTTAATTTCAACTAGAAAAAAATTATCGAAATAAGAGTTTTGTTAAAAATGAGTGTGCTTTCTTTGATTTGGCTGATAATGGAGATTGTACATTGTATTGCGTATTTATTCATTGTATATTTGCAATGATTTTGCTGGTGATGTCAAATTAAGCAACACTGTGAATATCACAATGATTGTAATGCACTTTCATTAGGACATTATTTTCTAGAAGAGTTCATATTAATAAAAATAAATAATATATACACACATGTATATGGTACTGTTCAAAAGTTTGTGGTCAGTGCGATTTTTTACTTTTGTATACTTTTATTCAGCAAAGACACATTTAACTGATCAAAAGTAACAGTAAAACATTTATAATGTAAGATTTATATTTCAAATAAAAAAGCATAATAAAGAATAGAGCACTGACTCAGCATATTAGAATGATTTCTGAAGGATCATGTGACATTGAGAATTGGAGTATTTGAGGTAAAATAAAATAAAATGTGTACTGTATGGCTGTTCAGTCTAATTAATTAGTAAAACCATCCATTACAATCTAAAAAAAAAATCTATATATTAATAATTAATAACAGATTACTTCACTCTAAACCTGACTTCTTATTGTGACTTCGCCAATGCACCACAGAAAAGCTGACCTTGAATAGCCAGTGTACTTAATAAAAACATCAGAATGGCTGTCATTTGAATGTGTTTGTATGACAGCAATGTGTAGAATATTACTACAGCCCTTCATAATGTACAGACAGCTTTGAATATACCAATCTCTCTGGAAATATATGAGGGCTGGAAAATATAATGTGTGAAAGTGTTTTTATCAAACCTTGGCCGAGTACATGATGCCAGCCAGCCAGGTGGAGATATATAGACATGATAGCAATATTTCAAAGGAACATCAGACGGGGAATATAGGCATAACTGCTGGCGAGAGCGTGTATATGTGCGTAATTTTGTGTGTGCTCTGCCGTGATGTCTCTAAAAGGGGTGACTGCTGTGGAGTGTGTGTGTGTGTGTGTGTGGCGTTAGGGGAGGCTCTGGAATCATTAGGTGTAATTGGTGTGAGAGGGTCTGTGTTCCAGCATCTCTCTGTAGGAACCGGCCAGCAAAACAACTGAACCCCACCCCCTCCCCGCCAATGCTGTCGCCTAGCAACCCACTGTACCGCACTTCCTCATCATGACATCACAAAGGGGTCTGTGAGTTCACTGCACTAATAAAAGTCTCGCGCACTTTAATGCCCTTTGAATGTAACGTGTACATTCCCTTGGAACTGGAATCATGGCGGAATTTCATGTGAAGTCCACTTCGCAGGGCACTTACGGTCGAATAAGACAACGCGTGAATGCTGCCTGAACAAGAGACCTCCTTACTGAAGGGAAAGTGTTGACTCGTGTCACTATCTCACGAACGCGCTGGCGGATCTCCACCAAATTCGGGGGATCCCTTCAGCTCGAGGAGCCCTCTCGAACGCCACCCTCCGCGCATCGGTAGCCCCCCGGGATCACTAGATCGGTCGGTGCCGAACCGCAAATTTAACCACCCGTAACTCCCGAACCCCGGGGGCTATCCACGCGGGGGTGGTCTCATTTGAAAGAGGGCCTCGAGACGTACACTCGGTTCACATTCGAGAGGGTTCCTTGAGCTGAAGAGATCCCCCGAATTTGGTGCGGATTCGCCTCGCCGTTATGGAGATATGGCCGTTCAAAGTTTCAATGGTTTTCCATTGACTTGAGCTTTAAAGCGTTTCATCCAGGTCGCCAGTAGCAAACTCTGCTGGACAAACTAAGTAATAACACCGTTTTAAGCATTCTATCTGCATTATATGTTCTGTAAAACAAATTTTTCATATCGGCGGCATATTCACCGATACCGATATATCGGCGACAGGCTCATATCGGCCGATAATATCGGCAAAACGATATATCGGTCGGGCTCTAGTTTTTACGGTATTTTTGTTCAAATAAATGCAGCCTTGGTGAGCATAAGAGACGCTTTTCAAAAACATTAACAAACAAATATAAAAAAAAAAAAACACTTAATTATTCCAAACTTTTGGCCACCAGTTCGTGTTCATTGTGGTAACCACCACATTGAAGAGGATACATCTCTAATATTGAATATTTAGTAAAATCCCTATTGGTTATGGAATAACATACTATCAACCAATCATAATTTAGAGTTACTGGCTTGAACAACATTATTAACCAATCATATATCTCTGATCTGAGGAGTATTTTTTGGTTCCTGCAGATCAGCAGAACATGCCTTTGGATAAAAGCATCTGCCAAATTCATAATTCTTGGACGAACAAATGACAGAACCTTCAACTAGTTCACTGAAATGAATCAATTCTACAATGCAGCGAACTTTTGAATAGCACTTTCTTCCATTTGACCCAGTTGCATCCTGCATTAAAAGTGTTAAAATGAAAGTCAACATGTGAAGAACATTCAATAAACCTTGAGGAAGAATCCAGACAAAAGAGCAGTAAGTAGTTTTCCTCCAATGCAGCAAACACACATCTTACCTTCTCATAGTAGAGCAGCTCATAATCGAGAATAATTCCATTGGGCTGTTCAGGCTGTGGCCATGACAACGTGATGCTTTTCATCGTCGAACTGACCTGATGCATTATGGGAACAATGGACGGAGCTGCAAAAGAGAAAGAGAGAGAGAAAGAGAAACCAAGTGAAAAAAATCATTCCAAACAGCCATCTTCCCTGCTGTGCGTACTTAGCTAGTGAATTGATCTGCCACTTTCAGAAATGAAGCACACACACACACACACATACACACACAGTATGATGAAAGAGTCAGACGAGAGGGTGATTGGAGTTGTTTAATAGCTTCGTGAGAATGTGCCCTTTGCAATGAAAGCCCATTTCTCAGTTCAAGCGCTCTGATTGGCTACAGTGTGTTTCTGGCCTCTCCGTCTTTAAGGAAGACACACCTGAGTGAACATGCACAGCCTCTAAATGAACCCACTGCCCATTGCATTCCTCTCTCTCTCTCTCTCTCTCTCTCTCCCTCATTTCCTCCTGTTCTCCTTTGCTTCGTCAAAGTGGTACAACTCTACGCTCAGCTGTTGTAACATCACACACAGCCTGTTTTCACGGGTGAATAGACTGAGGCGAGCATACGGATGTCACACAAGCTACTACACACACACACACATACACACTCGCACCTGCTAAACGACACAAACATGAATGGTCACACACAGACAAACAATTTTCTATTACGTTCTCTCTCACACACACACATTCATACTGGATAAACTTATAAACACACTGAATATGTATTACTCTGTGCTGGTTGAATGCGTGTTTGCGTTAATCGTGTGTCTGCCAAAACTCAAAGGGAGGTTTTCCAGTAGTTTCCTCCTCACAGCTGGCAGGACTCCTCCATCCTGACAAAGATCTGTGACTCTTCTCCTCTCATCACCCTCTTTCCCCTTCAACTCATCTTTCAGCATCCACATGTCTTCCTCTCTTCTTCTTTTCAGCCTCTGGTCCTCAACAGGACGACTGCTTCAACATTAATTACAGTCACACTCCCTGTAGAGAAAAAAATTAAATCTTTTCGACAGCCGTGATTTATAGATTAAAAAAATCTATAACTGCAGTAACAACCCCCCAGTGTACCATACATTTTTAAAAACCACTTTCACAACCCGGTTAATTCATTAGTTTATCTCTCCGTGCAGGAAATTAGAGACTCTACATACTGTGATACACATTGATTAGTCTGTCATATGTCCTTAGCAATTATTTCTAATCGACACTGACTCCAAATACACATGAACAGACAGACTGCAAGATAAGATGGCGCCCAGGCAGCTGGAGTCTTTACCGGTGTTCCCAGCAGCCATTCGTGAGTTTTGTGGACACCATGAGGACGCGTTTCTTCATACTAGCAGTGGAAACAAGGACATTGTGCTTTTGCGTTGCACACAAGCTTTTAAAAAGTTGACAAATATCAACCTACAGACTATATAATGTGCAATAACTACACCCTCCATGCATCTGAAAGGTCAGCCTCTACTCCCACCCCACCTGTCCTGCCGTATGTGCCCAGACCAATAGCACCGAATGCAGTTTGTAAATGCCAAACACTCGCTGGGTGTTTTCTTCTCCAAACCACTGAACCCATCGAGAAACACAAGGCGCCTCCGGGTGAATAAAGAGCCCAGTTCAACGCTTGACCTGTTACGCTGAAAATAACCACAGTCGCCGTGACGACCACTGTGACATTTTTCAGCTCAATCGCTCAGTGGGGAAATTTCGGCCTGTATTTTTTTTTTCTTGTTGATGAAACATTAGCTAATCCTAAATTTATCAGCTATCAATTTTTTTAATATACAGACATAATTGAAGATTTTGAGGTTTTACAATATTTAGCTTTCAAATTCTAAGATAACTATAAAAACAGGTTTTTTTTCATCTTATGACCTTTAATTTTCTCTTTTTGAATTTGTTGAATGTATTATATACTGCCATTCAAAAGTTTGGGATCAGTAAGATTTTTTTTTTTTAATTTTTTAAGAAGTCTCTTATGCTCACCCAAGGCTTACATATACAGAAAAAAAAACAGTAATATTGTAAGATGTTATTACAATTTAAAATAACTGTTTTCTATTTTAATATACTTTCAAATATAATTTATTCCTGTTATGCAAAGCTGAATTTTCATCAGCCATTACTCCAGACATTTCTCCGGTCTTCAGTGTTACATGATCCTTCAGAAATATTTCTAATATGCTGATTTATTATCAATGTTGGAAACAGTTTTGCTGCTTATATATATATATATATATAGTAACCTATTATTTAAAGAATATACAGTTTAGAAGAACAGCATATATTTGAAATAAATACAAAATATAAATTTTTCAAAAAAAGAAAAAAAATGTACTGACCCCAAACTTGAATGGTAGTGTATATTGCTACAAAAGGTTTCTATTTTGAATAAATGCTGTTATTTTTTAAAACTTTTTATAAACTATTAATTTCAATACTTTATAAACCTAAATGAAGAAGCAAGACAAATTTGTTTACTTTTATTAAAAAAAAAAAAAAATTTTACATTTCAGTTTTCAATTTTTTTTTTAAATAAATTGTTTTAAAAATGAAAGAAAATAAAATCTTAGTCTCTTCACCGGTGTTATATCCCATTGAAGGTAAAGTATAAACAGAGCAACCAATGGATGAAGTGTTTGAGAAACCTGTTTGAAAACAGTAATTTTGCAATTCAACTAAAGGCAAGAAATCACACACTCCACCTTTAAGATTCATTTACGCCGTTCTTTAGCTTTGGACTAAAATAAAAACTCACAAATTACATAACATAATAAAATAAAGTAGGATCCAAAACTGAATAAAAAGCTTTCATTTTGTAAGACTAAAAATTACTAAAGTCAAATATTTAATATTAAAATATAATATTGTAAAAGGTAACAATAATATTAAATATAATCATTTAAATATAAATTATAATATAAAAAAGATTTAAAAAAAAATAATAAAGCAAATAATAATAAAGTGTGTATATATATGCAAGACTTAAACCTCATGAAAAACTTGGGAGAGAAAAAAATTAAATCTTTTCGACAGCCGTGATTTATAGATTAAAAAAAATCTATAACTGCAGTAACAACCCCCCAGTGTACCATACATTTTTAAAAACCACTTTCACAACCCGGTTAATTCATTAGTTTATCTATTTTGAATAAATGCTGTTATTTTTTTAAACTTTTTATAAACTATTAATTTCAATACTTTATAAACCTAAATGAAGAAGCAAGACAAATTTGTTTACTTTTATTAAAAAAAAAAAAAAATTTTACATTTCAGTTTTCAATTTTTTTTTTAAATAAATTGTTTTAAAAATGAAAGAAAATAAAATCTTAGTCTCTTCACCGGTGTTATATCCCATTGAAGGTAAAGTATAAACAGAGCAACCAATGGATGAAGTGTTTGAGAAACCTGTTTGAAAACAGTAAATTCAACTTTTGCAATTCAACTAAAGGCAAGAAATCACACACTCCACCTTTAAGATTCATTTACGCCGTTCTAAAATTCTGAATTCTGAAAGTCTTCATCAAAATCTTACTGTTTTCCCGAAAGAATCTCTGAAATCCAGCTGAGATACAGAGCTGTTCTTCTAAACCACTGAACTGTGCTTTTTCAAACCAACTCTATTGAAACCTCCAACACCCAGCTTTCAAGGATGAAATTAAAACCAGACTGAACTTTAATTAATTAAGACTATTTTATATGTCTTTAGTCTCCTAACCTCCCCATGACTGAGTATCTGCATTCCTTCTCCTGCTTTCCGTCTCTTTCCATCCCCATTGGGCATTTCCATCAGCTACAAGCAGAACACAATTACCGCTTACCTCCGAGACCCCTCCACACGGGAAGGGCCCATTAATGGCAAAAGACTCATTACAGTCTCCAAAACGATAACAATGGAGGAAAGCGTGGCTCTTAAGCATCTATCTGTCAAGAGCACCATTTAACTGTCACACATACATGCCCAGCGGCGGCCATTAGAGCCGCCTGTTAATCAGCTCTATTTACCTCACGTTCTGCTCTTGTACATTTAGGAGAAGGAGGAAAACTCGGCAGGTGTCTGATTCTGTGTTATGATCTTTTTGTTTGTTTGCTCCGACTCTCAGCGTCACAAGAGGAGCCATTACAAGACATTCTGCTGCAGATCGTGTGCTGTCATGTCTGAACCATTGCTCAACGACTCAGTTCAGCTGGAAACAAGCATTGCACTGGAGCACCAATTACACCAATTAACTCCAATTAGACTGGATCAAAACAAGCAAACTAACAGGTGATCCAGACAGGACTAATCACAGTTTAAAGCCCGAGATACACTGCACGATTTTTGGCTGTCCCAGACGAAAGATTGCCATCGTGAAGCAATCGTGGCGATTTCTGTGACCGTGGCTCTTAATCGGTGGTCCTATGTCGTAGAGTGAGAGAGGTTCAAAGACGGGTGTTTTCCCGGTCTTGCGACCAAAGATAGCCTATAGTTTTCTGACAGTTTCAGAAATTCAGCATGATCAACGCACAGTGTGTTTGTTGCAAAGACCTGCGTCTACTCAGCAGCCAATGGAATTGCAACATGAAATTACGTAGATTGATTGATCCACGCGATCAGCGGCGCTACAATTTCAATGCCATGGAGGCAAAAAAAGTAGAAGATATACTGGTAAGTGGGATACCCATAAAGAACAAATTCTTGTTGAGTTGTGGCAGCAGAGGGCATGTTTGTACGATGTGTCCTCTAGCTTGCTATCATGACCGCACCAAAAAGGAAATAGCATGGAAGGAGATAGCGGAGGAACTGCAGCTGCCAAGCTCCCTGTGCAAAACGGGCATCCTAAGTTGTCCTCTTTTCCCGAGCCATGAGCGGGTCCATATTGCCCTCTTCTGCCGGCGCCTCTTCTTTGTTTCAACGCACGTGAAAAGCACAACTGCCAAAGCACGATCCATCTTGATGTACCAGTATTTGTTTACCACTAGCGCATGCTGATGACGTTGCGCTAACGTGTGTCGAAGCCGTTGCAGCCTACGATTCAATAGGTGTCATCATCAAACAGTCTACATGCTTGTCGTACCCAAGTTTAAATGATCCAT